GAGTGGAGCCGAATGCAGTTGAGTGCGGTTGCGTAGGGCATGCAAAACCACATGTAACTTCTGGGCGCCGCCCCAGCGGGGTCGGCGGATAAGGTTTCCGGGTAGAGATATGCATGGTGACGGCAGCAAGCTCCGCAGTGTCATGTACTCGGCAACTGTTTTCTTAGCATTTGTGAGGCCCTCCAAGCCAGCGTGTCTGAAGATTCGACATTTCTTCTAAGTCTTGTAATCTTCATAGCAACATGCAACATTCAAGACGCTTCCTAGGAATATGTCATAATCTTCAGTTCCTGCATCAAGCCCCTAACTTCGGTCAGCTCAGGTCCCTCCTGCTGATGCCAGGCGTCAGCTCCGCGGTTCTGGATGTGTCTGGGCTCCTTCGTGGTTTGGGGTTTTTAGTGCAGAGCCTGGAACCTTCCCAGAGACTCCAGTACCCCCTAATTAAGGAATATACCTTAAGCCTTAAATTATAGTAGGAACCCTAGTATGACTTCAGATATATTCCTTAATTAAGGGGTATCTGAGTCTCTGGGTTCCGACGTGGCCCAGGTCTTGTGCAATTATTACTCTGCAGACTGGCGCGGTGGTATGAATCATGCGATGGCTTCTGACAGCGTATGGGGGCAGAGCCCAGTTCAAGCGTTGCTGTCGGCCTTCACGCTATTTCAGGAGAGGTTTAGGGCGGGTTAGGGTCAAGGGTTGTCTGCAGTCTCTGGTAGAACTTGCTTCAGAGTGGAAGGGTTCGGGGAAAATAGGGGTTGGTGTCATTGACTATGTGCTCCCAGTCTGCGGCAGGACATCATGTCCTGTTCGGCAGTGTGCCGCACGTGGCGCGAGGCCTTGACTCCCTTTGCAGATCTGCAAACTCTCTGCTATCGTGCCTTGGGCCTGCCCGAGGGCTCTAAAGTAAAGCTGCCTTCTATCCAGGAATGTGTTTGTTCCACCGTCCTGGCTGGAATGCTATGGGAAGATCCCATATCTGGTTCCGGCCATTCCATCTTCAGAAGCAATGCCTGGCCTGCTCTCATATCAGAAGTCGAGATCTCAAGTGAGATGGGCGAGGATGAAGAGCATTCTCTGCGAGGGCCTGCGTGCGAACTCCTGAACAAACATGCGCCGACTTTCCAGCAAGTGGCACGGCAGATTCTTCGTGAAGTTCCGCTAGCATGGAAAACGAAACCCCGCACACTCAGCCTCCAGTGGATGGGTGATTATCAGTTAGCCACCTGCGACCTGCTGGGATTCAGTGCTAGTGACACCGGGAAGCAATCCTGTGATTGCCTTGCCCAAGAAGGCGAGCTTCTGGCACTTGATGGCTCGCGGCTACTTCCCCCGTCAACCACTGCCCTGAGCCCTTTGGAGATCAAAGGGCTGCGGCTTCAGTCCAGCTCCTTCGGAAAGAGCTCCACGGTACGACAGGCAAAAGCTCCGGGCGCAAGGTGTGGGACCGTATACTGCTCGATTCCGAAGGAGGAAACGGAGGAAACGGAGCCTTCGAAGGAGAAGGAGGGTTGTCCATTCTGTGCTGACTCTGTCGACGGCCAGGTCGGCGCCTCGCAGTTCTCGGGCTACTTCCAGATGCTCTTCTCCACAAGTGACTCAAAGCTCATCTCCTTTAAGATTAAGTTTGACTTCCCGACCTGCTTTGCCACCTCCGAGGGTCCTGAGATCATCACCGAGTTGCAGAAGCTTGTCCCGTGGTGCATGGACGCTCTTGATGACTGGGACAACGAGGATGACGGAAGCCTCTATGGTGAGGACGTTGATGACGACGAGGATCCGGGCGAGAATGACCAAACGGATCCGGAGGAGGAAGAAATGGAGGAGGGGGAGGAGGAGGAAGAAGTCAACGGCATCCAGGAGCGTGAGAACGGTGGAGGAGATTTAGATTCGTCTTGAGGGCATCTGTGAGGCGAGCCCATGCTACGTTTCATCGCCGCAGCCTCGTTGGGGGACGGTCGCCAAGCCGTGAGCCACAGCAGGTGAAGAGGGGCTTCAGACTGGATTTGCTGTGGATCCTCGTTGAAAAGCAGGAAGATGCGGGAAGTCAACAAGGGAGGACAGTGATGATCTATGCATTGACGCACTAAACGCTAAACCGCCAAACTGTGCCTTCAACCCGTTGTCCTGGAATGCGTTCCAAAGTACAGTGGGAAACCAGGTCCTAAGAGCAACGGAAAGAGGCTGGAAACCATAGAAGCATGGCACTGGGTAACCTAGAAGCAAAGACACTTCCGGCGCCGCCGCTCCTGCCATTCCTGTATTCTTGCTGGCGCCAGTCTCACGTGCAAGTGTTGTATAACCTGTACTTACTGGTTCCTGATGTTTCTACTTAGTTTTGAAAGTTCTGCATCTAGACACCACCGTGGCCGCCGCCAAGAAGACCAACGGTGGTGGCAAAGCAACAACACCAAGAGCGATATACTACGACGAGCGATGCTGGCAAGGGGAACGAACGGCAAGAACAAGACTACCTGAAAGCAGCAGCAGCAGCAGCAGCAGCAGCAGCAGCAGCAGCAGCAGCAGCAGCAGCAGCAGCAGCAGCAGAACCAGCAGAACCAGCAGCAGCAACAGCAGAAACGGCACCATCAACAGCAACAGCAACAACATCGGTTACACCATCGACGACAGCGGTCGCAACGACCGGCGACCACGCCAGCACTACCAGGAGGAGTGACGACCAGACGGACCTCTGCCACTACCACTGCCGGGGCAGGAATGCCCTCCAGGTAGATGATAGCCAGCACCAGCAACAGCCGCACCACCACTGCCGCCGCCAGTTTCATGACAACGCTGACGACGACGACGAGGCATAGTCAAGGACATCTACCTAGCACAGCACTCTACGCACACCGCCATTAGATGGGTTCTGCAAATCAGTAGCTGGATATGCAGCCGCACTGAGTTCATAAGACGAGCATGATGATACGGACTGCCAGGTTGCTGCCAAAAGACCAGTGGGAGATTCGATCACAACTTTGTGCACCGAAAATCACGGACTTGAGTCATCACCGAACCACCTGGCACAAACCTGAATACGAAATGCTGGATAGGTTTAAATCCATCTGCGCTCAGGCTTGCCAAGCGCCGATGCAGATGTCCGCCCGGCGGTTCTCTTGCCTCAGCCGAGCAGGGCAGGGGTGAATTGAACTTTCGATGTTCCGTGCGAAGATGTCACGAAACGACATCCAGCTGCTCCTGCCAGACTCTTCGAAAGCAGACGGCTTCTTCGGACTTCAGCGAGGCCGGGACCTCAGGTGACTACAGGAGCCGAGTTGGCGTATGGTGGCATAGACGAAGCTCTTGCAAAGCATTGTGGAAAGACGTCCTCCCCCCCCCCCCCAAGAAAGCCCAAGAAAGACACACTTGCGGCGAAGCACTGCCCAAACGGCCAGAACTGGCCTCTGCAGAGACAGACACACACACACACACAAGCAGACACAGACGTTGGCATGGCACAGGCTTCCTGGAAGCCGCAAGCAACGCCGGAAGACGGCGACGAGTGGGAGGCTCCGAGCACATCTCAGCTGGGATGTTCTGTGACGCATGGCAGGTCTTGTACACAAGACAAAAGCTTGTGTACGAGCCTATAGGGGTTAGGGCTTAGGACCGTGTATTCAACGGCTGCATTCAGATTCCAAGTTTGTCTGTCCACCGGGAGGACGTTGCTGCAAGACGCAGAAGCAGCTTGGCTTCTGCCTCCACTTCTGTCGGGGCACTCAGCACTGCAGCATTCAGCCGTGAGTTGCCTTCGCTATATGGGAGTTTCAGAAAGTTAGGGGTACCTTATTTTGGGGTCCTTATAATAGGGATCCTATCATTTAGGGTACTATATTAGGGTCCCCTATTTTCGGAACCCCCCATATCTTCGTAAACCTGTTGGCAAATCGAGCTCTGCTGCTCTGACTTCGTCCTGTCCCTGATCCGTGCGTCCAGCTCCAGGCGACAGCACCCAAAGCCAGGCGCATTGCTTCTGCATTCCGGCCCTTCAGCTTCGGTCGAGCTCGCGGAACTTGGCACCAGATACCATAGAGACTCTGCCAAGCTTTCTCGGTGTCCCAGTGCTTCTTCCCACGTGCCGTGACGCAGGCACTCCTGCCGTGCAAGCATCATGGGCATCAAGGGAGAATGCAACTCGGCAGGATGCTGGGCAAGGGCACCCGCCTTGCATTCGTCCACACGGTTCGAAGCTGCGCACTTGTCAACCCTGTACATCCGTTACAAACCCTGAAAGCACTGTCACGGTTGTACATTCCGTACAGAAAAATCATACTACTGGTGCAAGAAGAAAGCACCCACCGCGCAGTTGACCGTCGCGGGTCACAACGGCGAAGCGTCGCCTGGGGCCCTGGTCCACGAGCCGGTTTCAAGTGTAGCAGGATTACATAGCGCCTGGGGATTATCAGGAAACTTCTGATTACACTTCCTTATTATTGAACTGCTTTGTTTTGGAGATCCTTAAGTAGTACAGGAAGGTCAACAGTGCGGTCTAGCGTCTACGGGAACTCACTTGGCTGCACAGAGTTGTGCAAGGCCTCTACGGTTCTAACCGGAGTTTATTTTGGTTGTTTTACAAGTCCCTGGTCAGCGGAGTCCTTACTGATCCTTGCAATAAGGGCCTTTGATTATGGTTAGTTTTTCGGTGCTCAGTATGATGAACTATAGGGGTCTTACTATTTAGTGTTTATTCTAAGGTCCCGCAGCCTTCATTTTCTGAAACCACCCGTTTTGCAAAGGCGTAGCGGCGGAGGCCAACAGATAGCTGCTGTCAGGTACTATCTGAGTCTTGTTTTCATGCAAACCGCCACACGTCTCAAGTCGATACCGGGGAGATTTCGGGGACGTTGGTACACGCATTCCTGGTCCAACCATGCTCTCCAAAACTGCAAGACCGTCGAGCACTGCAAGAACCGAAGTGTTGATCTAAACCCTACAGTAAACCCTAAACCCTAAACCCTAAACCCTAAACTCTAAACCCTGATGTTTTTGCAGAGAACTCGAGGCTTCCTGGCCCCCTGGGGCCTCGGGATCCCAGCTATCGTGATTTCTTTGATGTCTCCTGCTTGGAGGATCATGGGACTTAGTAAGTAAGGTTATAAGTACCCTAGTTGGGGTTATAATAAAAGTTACCTTATTTGTAACCCTAGTTACTAAGTCCCATGATCCTTTAAGTATTGTTGTATAAGTACCTTAATTGGGGGTTATACGTAGTTATGAGCATAGTTACCCTAATAAAAAGAGTCTTAGTTGCTGTGGAGCCTCCTTCATCCGCAGCTCCGGCCCGGCGCTCTCCACCGTGGGCCACAAGGGGCTCCCGAAGGGGAGTAGAAGGGGAAGTCCATAGATTTTAGATTTTCGTCTCGAGGTTTTTGTTAGTTCCTGTGGCGCCGCGTCCTAAAAGCGGCAAATGCAGTGTGCCTCGGTCTTGGTTAACGCCGCAATTTTCTGGTGAGATCTTCGGCGTCTCCGTGCATCAAGCATCCACATGCCCCGGAGAGAGACAGAAAGGAGGGAGGCAAACGGAGTGCCGATGGCTTGCAAGTGTCGTCTACGGCTTGATTGGGCTGAGGATGGTTGCACGGCTTGTCGCTGGGCAGCACGTGCAATGCAAACTACCAGCTGCAGTATGAACGGAAACTTACGTGTACTGTGAGATACTGTGAGCCTCGCACAGAGCCTGCTACGAGCCAGTAGCATTTCGACTCTGCAGAGCTCGATGGCCCGCGCTTAATGCCACAAGATTTCACCAAGGAAAACTATGCGTTGCTGTGCCTGGGCTGCAGTAGCTGTTGCATGTCTGGGTGTGCCAGACAGCTTGGAAACAAGGTGCTGGATACTGAAAGATGCAAGTTGGGCCGCTGCCGCAGCATTGGTGGAAATTAGGATTCTGGTCTGCGGAGCCTTTTGGGGTCGGCTGCTGACCGTTTGCAGAATCTTCGGGATGGGTTGAAGTCGCCTACCTACCAGGCTCCGGAGAAAGAGCACCGGCCCTTTCTGAGGAACTTGCGTGACTTTTCGGGGACCTTCTCCAGTTACCTCAAGCTTTCAAATCCACCACAAAAATCCCAAACCCAAAACAAGCCCTAAACCAGCAGTTGCAGGAATCCCAGAAGCTTCTGGACCCAACAAGAAGGAGCCCGAGCCCTAGGCCCTAGGAAGTTCCAGGTCCTACTCTTTCCATATACCGCCTGGTTGGCCCTGATCGGCGCCTTGTGCTTCGAGACCTGCTACCTCGCGAGCTCCTTCCAGGACGGCCCTCGGGGGTTTAGGGTTTAGGCTGGGGGTTTAGGGTTTAGTTGGGGGGTTTAGGGTTTAGGTTGGGGGTTCAGGGTTTAGGGGTTTAGGGTGTAGGTTAAGAGTTGGGGTTTGGGGTTCCTTGAACAGCTTCAGGGAAACTACGCAAGCCACAAGACCTTGCGAGAAGGGAAGCAATAATCAGCCACTTCATAGGAGCGTAGTGACGTGGAGAAATGAATGAACAATTCTGAAAGATTACAACAAACACAGACACCTACATGTGCAGATGCACATGCACACAGCTGCCCCAGCTATACCTGTACTTGCCCTACCTATTCCTGTGCATACATAGACAAGTAAGTGTACATACATATGTATAACACAACTAATATACATAATATACATATATACATGCACACACACCCACACACACACACATATATATATATATATGTGTAAGTATGTATGTATATTTACATACGCAAACAAGTATACACATAAATAAATGCATATACATAAATGCACATATTTGTGTGTATACATTTGCACAAACCTCACCTACACCTTAAACCGAACACCTCTACCTATACCTATTCGTATAGGAAGGTTTTGCAAGGTTCATTGGTAGGGCCTAGGAGCCCTAGTAACCAGAACAGGGTTTG